CACCGGGGAAGAGAATTCCCGCCATAGTGCCATGACAACCGCCTCACATTACGTATTCCTTATTTCTCTCCCCCCCCTCCCGGTTTCACCGCACAGCCCCCGTTCCCCCCTCCCCGGTAGTACCTGACGAGGTTGACCCCCATAGCAATATTCCGGTCACAGCGGTAGGTATCGAAGCCCTCCGAGCGCAGCGTCAGCTGCACGAGCGAGACGTGCGAGGAGTCCATGCTCTGCAGGCTGATGCCGCTGGAGCCCAAGTCCCAGCAGGCTTCGGTGATGAGGTCCTTGAGGGCCTCCAGGACCTTCTTCAGAACTGAACCTTGGATGAGCCTAGCCTCGAACATCTTCGCAAGAACAGGGCAGAGAAGCACGGAAGTGAACTTTACACCAACGCCAAAAAAGAAACCCAGCGATCAATTCACGCAGAAAAAGTGGCAGCGACGCGCGAAAAACGGCCCTTATATTTGCCCTCGCTCCAGATCTCCGCCCCCGTCCCTTTTAGCTCCACCCTTCGCTCCTTCAAGAACCAATCGCTGGCTGTCACAAAGGAGGGGACGTTTCAGTGAGCGGCTCGGGGTCCCGCCCACAAGTAGATGTCATAGATTTCTCCCGCTAAAACCCTTCGAACAAGCTGGGCTCTCGTCCTGCATCACGTCAGAAAACGGTGAACCAATCGCCGCTCAGTATTATTGCTTCCGGGTCTCCTTGTGCCTCGAAGGAACCAATCATGATTAAGGAAAGTTCTCTGTGTTCTCTGTTTTCCCCTCCCCGGCCTGGTGAGTGAATGCTGGAAGAAGCTTTAACTAAGGACGCTCGACACGTGCTGCAAACCCCGGAAGAGTGTATACTTTGCTGGCTATCTCTGAGCTTGTCCGGGCATGCCCTCTTTGTTGTATGGCTCATAGGCGGCTTAGAAAAGTGCGTTTCGTGGAAGTTTCTATACCGGTTTAAATCATAGTTTGAGTCCAGTGGCATCTTTACGACCGACACGTTTAATTCTGGGCATAAACTTTCGTGTGCATGGTCTGAAGGATTTTGCCGGAATTACTAGATCTCAGGAGCTGATTCGCGGTTTCCTGGTTCTAGTCCCTGCTAATAAGTATCACTTATGTCGCGCTTTAGAGTATTCTAAGCATTTCACATACATTATCTTGTAATCCTTACAACAACCCTTCAAGGTATATTAGAATTACTATTATTGCTGTACACCAGATATGGCAGGAGCTGGTGCATAGTGTGTGCATGACACAGGCAAGATTCAAAAGAAAGTCTCTTGTCTATTATGCTACCAAGGCTCTTCTCCAGGTGAAGGGTTAACTTGCAAGAGCAGAGAAAGGAGCAAGCTATTTTCCAGAACGTCCGTGTTACCAGAGAAGCAGATAGTAATACAAGTGGCTCAGTGGTAGAACATCTGCTTTAGCATGAAGAAGCACATCACCTGCTTCCTGATCCTTTAACTGTCAATGTCAGAGAGGTTATTCTGGCTCCCCCAGCTCTCGATAGGGGCTCTTTAAAAAGTTATGGCCGCCACCGCTCTCGGATGTAGCTGCGATGCCCACGGGGCGGGGTAAAACGTTCTCCTGTCTCCCTAAGCCCTGGGGTGGCGGCCTTGGAGTCGTACGGGCAAATTCCACCTCTCGCGCGTGATGTCCGAGCGGCAAGGGGCTCTTTACAAAGTTATGGCCGCTGCCATTCTCGGCGGCAGCTGCGGCGCCTGGAGGGGGGAATGTTTCCTTGCCTCCCTGAGCCCTGGGGTTAGGGTCAGTGTTCCCGCTAAGCTGAGTTAGTGTGAGCTAGCTCACAGTTTGGCTCACACATTTTTGTCTGCGCTCAGGAAGGAGGGCTCCAGAGCAAACTGATTTATGCAGCAGCCAAATCGCTCGCTCACAACTTTAATGCCAGCAGCTCACAAAGAATTTTTGCTCACAAGACTCCACAGCTTAGAGGGAGTATTGGTTAGGGTTAGGAGCGCTGGGCCTGAAAAACGGCCTGCAGAGCCGCGGGCCCCCCCGCCCCCCCTCCTTTTTCAGGCTTCCCGCTAGAATGCCCAGCCTGAAAAAGGGCCAGCCAAATGTCAATTTCAGCCCCATTCTATCCTATGGGCCATTGAAGTAAATGGTGAAAACATAGGGTATATTCTGGGGGCTGGAGGAGAGAGGGTTTGAGGGAGAGGCTCCAAACTCGCAGGGTAGCTGCTGGAGCTTCTCCCCAAGATACCCGCCATGTTTCAGGAACATTGAACCAGGGGGTCCAATTCTATGGGCCACCAAACAGGTTGCCTCCATCCCCTCCATTGTTTTCTATGGTGGGAAAAAAAGTTACCTCTCCTGCCCGGCTGCGACGGGGC